GTCTCGGTTCGTAACCCCCCTATAGTCCCGGTTTTCGAGCCCGGACGACCAATCCGGGACTAAAGATCGATCTTTAGTCCCGGTTTTTTCACCCGGGACTAAAGATAGCGATCTTTAGTCCCGGATTGGTAGTCCCGGTTTGAAAACCGGGACTATAGGGGGGTTACGAACCGAGACTGAAAAGCACTTCTCCACCAGTGAAAATCTGCTCTAATAAATGCTAAGAGTCGACTCTGAGCCGTTGTCATACATAACAACCATATTTCTCTTTCCTCCTTTCTATTTCTTCCATGTCATCAAATTTACTTGCATTGTAATAGAGAGACCACTAATAAAAACCGTTGTACATGCCCTTATATATTAGGCTATTTGGTTTAGCTGAATTGTCCTTTATACTTCGTTCAAAGGAGCTGTTTGGTTTAGCTAGGCTATTCCCGTGAGAGTTGTCATTTATATATTTTTAAGGACGCCACATAAACAAGAAGATATTAATTATTGATTAAATATATATAGCTCATACAATGTATCGCTTTATTCTTTTTATAGACAATTCATGCAAGACAGTGTAGACATGATTTTATCTAAATGAAACCCATTTCACCTCTCACTTTGTTAATTCCTTATCACATCGTCAAAAATAGTAATATGTCATCCTATTTAGGCCCTCTTTATTTAGGCTTATAAGCCAACTTATAAGTCGAAAAGTCTAAGTCTAGACAAACAAACAACTTTTCCGTTTGGTTTTTTTGAAACCATAAGCCACTCTAACACTATTAAGCCAAAAGCTAGGTTGGAGAAGCTTTTTTGGCTTATGTGAGGTAGATGTATGACTCAACCACTAAACTTAGGACATTAAATCTACCGGCTTATAAATCATATAAGCCAATAAGCTGACTTAAAAGTCTAGGCCAATAAACCTAAGCCTAAACAAAGAGGGCCTTAATGAGAATGAAACTCTCATTGAAAGTGGCCTTAAACACATGTGAATACTAATTATAAAATAAAAAATATACTTATTTTGATTTTTTAAATAAACTTTTACGTATAATTTTCTAAAAGAATATGTCGTTATCAGTTTAGAAAACGTGCTCACGATTAAAGAAGTAGCCGAGCAAATAATTAAGACACATCATGAGATTGCTATAAAAGTTTAGCCTGATAGAATTGGGTATAGTTTCGGCTTGGTAGTCACAAACAAACCAAATTGGAGTATCGTAGAAACGATTTCTGCGGGGGATACGATAGGAAATCCCGACCGATTAATTTGTTAGTTAGCACTAGCTTGTCTCCTTGCCAACCCTCTTAATTTCATACTGCTACAGGAGCAGCGATTAATTAGTTAGTTAATTACATACTCCTATTATATATTGTACCAGTGATTATGTTGCAATTGTGTACAATTTGTCATCAGATGTACATATGCCAACCTCCATTTTGCGGGCACACTCGTACTACGTACTATCAAACAGTAATAGGAATCCCAAGGTGAGTACCCTGTGTCTGGAACACGGATTTCACAGGAGTTTTAGACGAATTTCGTACTCTCATACTACAAAGTAGAGTACACTTTCATTCTGTATGCATATGGTCCTGACTATACAGCATTGGATAAAGGCTAATCAATGGCGTTTACCGTACTGTGTTTGGGGGGGTAAATGACACGGTTGCGTTTAATTTCCTCCGAGCAGGAGACAGTACATATGCATGGTACTACTCCTTGTTACTACTTCTGTCCCAACGTAATTATATTTCTAGAAAATTTTGGATATATTAACAGTAAACACAGATGATCATAATAACTTTACATGCATATATAGAACAAAAGAAAGGTTGAGGCAGATGGGGACGAAGAGATGTGAGGGCAGAAGTCATGATAGATATCACCGCTATCTCTATAAGCGGATTTTTCTTTCATTTACGTTGTATTTCTACTAGGGGTTTTCGGATAAAATATAATGGTGTGTCAGGTGGTTCGAGAACATATACGATATTTTGTACAAACACAATAAACTTTTTGCAAAGTAGCAAAATTCGCGTAAATCTCTCCTAGGAGCTAAAAGAAATTCGAAAACGGTGGAAATCGATACGGGATCAAGTCTTATGAGACGAGAATTACAAATATATTTTTTTTAACGGCGTTGTGCTTTCAGTGGTAGGCGACGTACCCGTCGACAGCGAGGCGCCTATGGTGACTTCGTCAATCTCTTCAGAATTTGCCGGCCCAATCTTTGAAGATGCTCATAGGGGTAGGGTTTGCGTGCGTGTGTTCATAGGGGTGAGTGCGCGTGTATTGTGAGTGTCTGCGTTTTACTGTGTAGTTCTAAAAAAATTGAATGATAGAAATATAATTATTTTGAAATAGAGATAGTAACAATTAACATTCATGATTCATCATTCATTCATTGATTCGTGCGTGTTAATTCTCTCGGTCCCCGGCCGGCCGGAGTTAAGTACGGTTGAGTCCCACAACTCCACCTCTTTGTGAACTTGTGCGTTCGATGTAAATGAGGATGGCAAGAGTGGGTGGTGTGGTACTGTAGTACCACTGCATTCTGCAGGGGCCTCGTTCTTAAGAAGCCTGGGCCATGAGGCCATCCTGTGCTCGTACTCGTACCAAATTATTCTCGCTCCGATCAGCTATCAATTTATCAGTACTTGTATTGGTGGCTCAGTTTAAGTTTAGATTATCGGATATATTGTTATTGTGGATTATCTGTTTGATTTTATGAGTAAAATAAATAGTTTAAGAAATAACACGTAACAAATAGATTAAAACATGTGATCTTAGCCATATCGGAGAAGAAAATTTTAAACAAAACATATTTTTAAACGTGAAGCAAATAATCTGCTTTTAGTAATTCGATAAATAATTAAAAACAAACTGAACCTGAAACTCTGAATATCATCAGCAGAATGGTATGGGAGTTGATTTTTGTTTTCAGAAAACAATCCCTATGATATATGAGAAATGGCAGAGAGAAAACAAAGGAAGGGAGGTGACGGTGGTCCTATCGATGTCGGAGAGGACTCCGCATGCGGAGATGAAATTTCGTGGAGGTTCCATTTGCAAAGGGGTTGTTGCGTCGCTGGCGATGCCGGATGACGGATGGGATAGGAGATGCGATGCTGTGCATTTTTTTTTTCTTTTGTCCGGCGCGTGGCCATCCGCTGATCCGTCCGTCCACGTAACAGCAGCAGCAGCAGCAGCAATGAGTGGATCGCTGGATCCTCTTGGGTTTCTGGATCGATCCGGCACCGACACCCCGCCGCGCGCACGGGCACCCGCGCTGGCTCGATTCCACCGTGCGCCCCACACTAATTTTGGCTCGATTCCACCGTGCGTGCGTACGTCCGCGACGTACGCCGACGTGATCAGCCGCCGCGGGGCGGCAACGGGAGGACGTCCAGGTGCGCCGACCCCGACGACGCATCGATCTTACGCGACTCCACGTCTCCACCGTACTCTGCCCCGGCCCATTGCGGCGGTCGCCACCCCGGTTATTGCACGCACAAAATGACCGTCCCGTGCTCCTCGTGCCACGGCGTGAGAACAAGGAGAAAAACCCAGCGGAACAGAGCAGCAGCAGCAGACATTCCGATCGATCCTTGTGGAAACTGTTCGGATTTCCTAAGACCGGATCGAAACTACAAACCGTCCGGTTTTTCGGTCAAATTTAAAAATTCAAACTGAACTTTAAATTGTGACGAGATTTGTTTGGATTTTTGTCGGTTTTTTCAGTTCTTTATGGTTCTTGTGAAATCTGATGATACTGAACGTGAGCGGGTTTTTGATTCGGTGTGAGGATGGTGAATCTGTTCTGCACCCGTGAAAACGCGCGCCTCTACAGGGAAAATATACAGTGTAAATCACATATGTAGTGAAAATATGAAAACTACTGTTAAATCGAAAAATTACACGTCGGAGTCGTTCACGTCACCATAAGTAAACACGAGTAAACCTACGAGTATTTTTCGTGAACACGCAAAAGGAGTGTACGTTAATATATTAGATAAAAAGAGTTTTTATTACCCAACACAATCAGCCAGACCGACTTATGCTAGGGAAGGGAGAAAAAGCAAAAAAAAAACAAAAATTAGGAAAAGGCTACTACGGCAGCTAAACGTAACTTCAAACAACGGGAAGAAGCAGAGCCACGCTATAATTCCAAAAAATCCCAAAAATGACAACGCCAGAGTAAACCTATAGTTACTCTATAAGGATGAGGCGGACGAATGTCAGTCGTCCATTTTCAATCCGTCAGTAGTTTTCAGGTCTGTAGTTTTCACCGTATAGTTACCCCGGGTCTGCGTCGTTTTTCCGTTCGCGCCACGCGCGCGCTGCCGTGTCGGCAGGCAGGCGAAGACGCAAGTACAGCGCATAAAGAAAACGTCGGAGTCGGCGCCTTCTCTCTGCGGCCCCCTCGCACTTGTTTATACAATGAATTTGCCATCACCACGCATCAAAAACCCTCGCCGCTTTGCTGCTGATGCCGCGCGCCGTGCCATCTTTACTTCCTTGCACGCGCACGTACTTACTGTATTACTTAACGCCAAGATGCTTGCTGCTTACCTGGAACAGTAATAAGTAGAGTAGCCGAGGCCGTTAGTACTCTAATCTAATCTTAGTGGCTCGATCGATCCCATCGGATCTCGGCCCATCCTTGTCGATAGCTTCTCTGCCGGAATTTGTAAACTAATCAAGGGAGTAGTAATGACGGCTCGTCCTCCATCATACGACTCCTCCCTCCACTCATCAGCTCCAGCGCAGAATCTCATGCCATGTTTGCCTTCTCATCCAATGCAACTAGTACTGGTAGTACGAACTGCACGGATTTTAGGAGTACTCACGTTGGCAGTGAGGCCGAGTTTAGAACAGGTATAATAGTAGACTATTAGCCAGCTATAAACATATTTTAATAAGATAAAAGATGAGAGAGAAAAGCAGCGGGCTATAAATTTATAGTCAGCTGCAGCACAGACTATAAGACGCAATGTGTGCATGACAGGTGAGATCATATATTAATAGTATAGTAAGTAACTATTGTGTGAATTAGCTATTAGATTAACTATAGATGAATTGAAGCTAGTAGTGGGCTATAGTATTAAACTTGCTCTTAGATCCAAAGTTTTTCTTCAAACTTTCAACTTTTCATCGCATCAAAATTTTTTTAAACATAAACTTCTAATTTTTTAATCAAATCGTTCCAATTTCAACCAAACTTTCAATTAAATTGAGTTGAACTAAACAGAGATTAGAGATCGATCGCATCAGGCTTATCAGACTTCAGAGACGGGCCGTGCTACTACTGCACGCTACTGTGGATGCGAAACGCAACGCATGCAACGCGTGTGTCACTAGCGTGGCGTGGTGCGAAATCTCGGAGTTGAGTACGTGCAACTGCAGAAGAAGGCAACCGCCTAGGTAGTGGGTACAGGTTTGACCAAGCAACTGAAGCGTCCGTCACGTACACAACCTCCTGTTGCTACTCAACTCAACGTCCTCAACCTGGGTTGCGTTTAGTTCAGCGTAAAGTTTAAATTTTGGTTAAAATTGAAAATGATATGACTGAAAAGTTATGTGTGTATGACAGGCTGATGTGATGGAAAAGGACTGAAATTTGGATTCACTTTGGATCTGAACACAGCCCTGATGTTGCTGCTCAACGTCTCAACTTGCTGTTGCTGCCTAGCTGCTCGCTTCTGTTTAACAGAAACGTACAGTACGTTGCCCACTTGGAGTAGTCTCAAGGAATCTACATTTCGCCGTCTAGTGGTAGAAGCAAAATTGTGGTACTTACGTCATGAAGAAAATGAGAGTGCTAGGGGTTACATCGTAAAGTGATCAAAAGCGGATGAAATGATGTACTCCCCGTTTTAAAATATAAACTTTTTTAAAATTTCGTTTGAAATGTATCTAGATAGACGTGTATAGACACGTAAAATGTTTATATTTTGAAATAGAGATAGTAGATGATTTACTTGTCAACATATTAATATCTCTAGAAATAAATTAAGTAGCTCAAAATAAGTCGCCTGAGCAACATATTTCATTTTTTGTGAAATCACATTTTAGAATGTGAAGGAAATAATTTCATGAGACTGGCTTATTCAGCAGTTTCGAACGGGGCCTTGGCAGGTCTACAACAATAAATTATATTTGATTTTCTTAAGCACAACACAAATGCAAATGCTCATGCAAATTTTATTTGATTTTTAATCAGAAGCGAGCTGATTCATGTGAAATTTCTATCTTTGTAGGGTGTGTTCGAAAGAGAAGTTTGGAAACTTCTCTCGTGCGAAAGTTAAACGGGATGATTCATTAGTGCGTGATTAATTAAATAATAGTAAAAAAAGGCACAATATTTGTACTATTATTGTCATCCAAACAACATTGGCTACATTTTTTCTCTAACATATCATCCCTATTCCCCTAAAAAACATAGTTAGTGACTAACTAACCAAAACGAAAAAAAAAAAGTTGTCTGGGGTGGATACATGGAACAGGTATCAATCAAAGGTGGTGGACTAGGTAACTTTTGCTTAATCCCTTCATATGCCAAAGCAAAGCAAAGAAACAAGAAGAGAAGGTAGCAACCTAATTCCCTCATTCTCACACCTGTCCTCTCCCTCTAGCTTCCCCACCTAATAATAGTCTACTCATTCTCACATCTCCTCCTGCAAAAAGAAAAGGATTTTTCAGTACAGGGGGATTCGGTGCTCGTCCCCTTCCTCCTCTCCTCTCTCCCTGCTTCTGATGCTGCTGTCCCAACTGTAGCAGTAGCCACCACCTTCTCCATCTCGTCGGCTCTGATTAGATTTCTTGATGTCGTGTTAGCCTTTCCCTGTTCCTTTAGCTAAAGAATTTAACGGCAGTGGGGCAGAGACGGATTGATGCCATTGTTCGATTCTTTCTCCTCCTTTTGCTTCCTTTTAAGCATTGCTTTTCCTGGCCATCCTTTTCCATTCCCATTTGTTTTGTAGGCTAGCTGCCATAGCCTTTTTCTCGTCTTCCAGGGCTAGTATCTCAGTATCTCCACTTGCTTCTCATTCTTATAATCGTCGTCGTCGTCTTCCTCTGTGATCTGTGGTTGCCTTCTCTGCTTCGCCTCCATTTCTGTTCTTGGCTGCTTGTTCTTCTTCTTGGGCGTTGTTAGCCAAGAAAGCGAATTCGTTTCTTTTTTTCTTGAGCGATTTGAGCTCGGTTCTTTCTGCTTTGGACAGCGATTGAGTGAATGAGTGAGTGAGTGAGTGAACTCAGGGCCTTTCCTGCTTTCTTCATGGACAGCTCACTCTGCACAGCTCAAGGTAAGGGGACACCTGCTGTTAGATTCATCTTCCCAAACGGATTAGTGCGAGTTCAGCCTGATAGCATCACTGGAGCGAGTGATTAGGAGTTCTTGGCTGTTGGGATTGCTCGCCATTGCACACGTTCTGGAGTTGTTTATGATTGTCGGTGCTTGGCAGGTTCTTGCTGAGTGAAGCAGAGAACTTTAGCTGCTGCCGCCATGGATAGGGCGTCAAGATCAGGTGTTCTTTCAGAGACGGCTTCTTTCGCCGACACTCCGAGGTCCATCTATTCGTCCTGCAATCTCCAGCATCTTCAGTCACAGAGGTTTGCGCTTCTCTCAGAGTATATTAGTCCATAAAAAAACTAATTTTCTTCTCGAGCTTGTGCAATTCAGTGTCAATTTCAATTCGTAAGTTATCTCCTGCATTGAGTAAGCAGGAATGAGTAATTTACAAGTTCTGAATTGGTATTTGGGGAAAAAACTGATGAAAGAGCACTGAAAAGGGAGCTGTGTCTAGAATCCAATCCGTAATTAAGTGTGCTATTCAGTCTGTCCCATCATTCATACGCACATAGGGAGTAATTTTGCTGAACTTTAGTTCGGCATCTAATTAATTTGGTACATTACTCAGCAACCGTCCCTCTTCAGTCCACATTGAATACCTCTTGACCACATACATGTAGTTCTTGTACGGCTCCACTGTACATTAGTGTTCAGAGTTCACTAGAACACCATTTGACCACATGGTATACAAACACAAAAAATAGTTTTGAACAAAATTAAGCATAAGGATATAGTTATAAAATGATTTTTTTATATATATTTGTGAATTTGCGCAAGAATGTACTATCCATGTAATGTCCGCTATACCTATCTTCTCGTACTGTTTTTTTTTTGGGACTTGTATTTTTTGATGAAGGCTTGAATTGCTTAGTTAACTTTCAATTTGTTGTGTAATTTGATTGAATGAATTTTCTTTTTTTCATTTTAGTATCCGGAAGATACATGAAGGTGCCTTGGATATATCGCCACGATTCTCCTACTGCAAACCTGTAAGTATACCATTTTCACTTCATTCGCCATTCGGCGCAGAAATAAAAAGTTATTCTACAGTTATTATCGCCGACTAGACCCTTGCATATATTGCATACAAGTACTTGATTTTGATTTTACCACATCATACAGAATGCTAGTCAGGACAAGATACTGCACAGAAGATTCTCACTTAACTTGCCAGAGCATATGCCAGGCCATTACTCCAGGACAGTAACTGAAAGAAATCAAAAGGCTGCTTCAAAGGTCTGATACAATTCATGGAAAATTGTTTCGACATTTTTAAATATGATCAAATATGAAGAAATTCATGCCTTCTATTCATGTGAGAGTTTGTTCTACTTTTTTTTTTCATTAGTAGAACCATAGAGTACAGTAATTACACCCCTAGTGTGCATGGACATTACTAATCCAGATCAATGCACAATGAAAGCTGAAAGTTATAAAAAAACTGGGATGCATGATAATGAGTTAATCTATGGCCATTTATTATAGATGTATTCTTAGTCTTGATCTTGCATTACTGCAGTCCATCACAGATCTAGTCGTGGAGATTGCGGCCCTTGAGCAGGAAGTCGTCCGAAAGGAATTGCATCTGCTATCCCTCTATAGAAAAGCATTTGATCAGTATTTATCGGAGTCTGGCAGTGTTACGAGTGAGGTACATTATTAAGGATGGTACACAAATCAGCAGAAATCATGTGATGGCTAGTATAAAGGCCAAATATTCATGTGCTAAGATTAATGCCATTGACAGGTGGATCAAGAATTGCTGAAAAACATTGACGAGGGTGCCCTTCGTTTGAAAGACATCAAGCAATCTGCAGCCTTCAACTTACCAATAGTCTCAGATACTAAAAGTGTGCGAACCTTTTATCTTCATTTATTTATTTTATGAAAATGCAACAGCTCATTTGAACGGACACAGACCACACTATTATCTCTTTGTATTTGAAAACACCTGACTCCGCTCTCATATTTTGCAGGAGGTATCAAGATCACCTTCAAGGCATTCCAGCCTTGTTAACTTCTTGAGTGCATCTATTTCTGAATATGTACCCAAGATCTCTTGCAAACTATCAGAAGACATTCTGAGCTGCATAGCTGCTGTCTACTGTAAACTCGGAAGCGTGCCACTGCAAGATAGCGAATACATAACCTCCCCCAGTCCTTCTGTTTCATCTTCAAGTACTTTTTCTCCGAGGAACCGCAATGATAGCTGGAGCCCTCGGTACAACTTCGATATCACCCCGAGCCCTCGCCAATATGGATACGAGAAAGAGAATAATGAACAAAAGAACATAGGCATGATAATTGTCCCAAGGATACGAATAGATGCTGACAAGTTTGATTACGCCTCAAAAATGCTTGAGACTATCAGGTAAGCATTTAAAATAAGAAAATTACAAAAAAAAGTCACTTATTTAATCATGTGAACTTTTCTGCCATAATGTTAGATGCGTCAATTAGTGAGCTGTATAATTGTTCATAATGTTTCCCAGGTCCCTGATTCAACGGCTTGAAAAAATTGACCCAACAAAGATGACACACGAGGAGCAACTCTGCTTTTGGATTAACATCCACAATGCTTTAGTCATGCATGTAATGCTCTATACTAAAATCGGATATCACCTTAGCTATGTTCAGTATTAGCCTCAGAAATCAGATAATGGTATTTAACCTAAACTGCTTTGTAATATATCAGGCATTTTTGGCCTACGGGCTGCACGATAAACGCATGAAAAGCACGGACATGATTCTGAAGGTACATCCTATTCTCTAGTCTTTAACTTCACTCATTTTCATATATGAATCTTTCTGACCATTCTGACAAATATATTGCCAGGCTGCGTATAATGTTGGTGGGCAGTCAGTAAACGCTCAAATAATCCAGAACTCAATTCTTGGATGCCAATCCCATCGTCCTTCGCTGGTATGTCTGCCTTTCATTTCCATTAACAAGACAGACATTTCTCTCTAAAATCATCAACACTTTGACAGTATAAATAGTTAAATGCAATCATATGAAAGAAACAGTGTACGGATAAACCAGAGACCACCGTAAAAGTTGCCATTGTGGCAAACTAACAACGGAATCTTGTACACCGTTTTCGCAGTGGGTTCGGGCGCTGTTCGCACCAACGAAGAGATCCATGGCAGGGACAGCCAGGCATCCATATGCCCTTCAGCATCCAGAGCCAGTTGCTCATTTTGCCCTCTCCACTGGAGCATTTTCAGATCCACCTGTAAGCCACCACTTCCAGCCATACTTCAATCAAGAAATTTTTACGGTCTTCGAGTAGGTACTATATTTTTCTATCGCAAAATTTGGTACTACCCAAGGTACTACTACAAGTACAAGGTAATACCAGATTCAACGCTAGAAAAAGCTGTACTTCCTGTACCTCTCAAGGACGGTAAAAAATGACTCCAAACATCCATGTAAAAAAAAAAAGGAAATATCAAAGCTGTAAGTTGGATCTTGTGTTTGTAGGTGAGGCTGTACAGTGCGAAGAAGATACACCAGCAGCTGGAGGTGGCGAGGACGGAGTTCATCCAGGCGAACGTGGTGGCGAGGAGGCAGGCGCTGATGCTGCCCAAGGTGCTGCACTACTACGCCAAGGACGCGGCGCTGGAGCTGCGGCATGTGGTGGAGCTGGTGTGCGAGAGCATCTCGGAGGCGCAGCAGCGGGAGATCCAGCTCTGCCTCAGGAGGAGGATCGACAAGTGCGTCGAGTGGCTGCCCTACAAGTCCTCCTTCAGATACGTTGTACATAGGGACCTGGCCGAGTAGGCATGCAGCAAAAAAGGATTTGGGTTCGTTTTATTCTTCTTCTTCTTCTTTTCTTTGTTTTCTTTTCTTTTTTGTTTGAAATTCAAATTTCAAATTGCGGTTTGGATGTGCAGTGCTGTCTCGTTGTGGTGTAAGTAAAAGAACGGATTTCTGGTGAGGGCAATGGCGTGGGTTGGGTTTGTAATGGATTTTGCGTTGTGTGTGTATGTGTGTGTAAATATAGGTGATTTGTGAGTTGTGATGCTAATAGTATGGCAGTGTCGACAACTCGACAAGAAAGGGGAGAAATATTGGTAACTTTGTCACAGTTCGATTTTGTCACGAGTGCCAAAACTTTCGCCACAAAGTGAGAGTATGACATGTTGAACATGTATTCTTAGCTTAACTTCCAGAACAGTATGGCATGTTGAATCATGTGCTTAATAAAGTGTAGCTTGTCTTAGCTTATACTTCCTCCGTTTCATAACGTAAGACTTTCTAACATTATCCACATTCATATAGATATTAATGAATCTAAGCATATATATGTGTCTAGATTCATTAACTTCTAAATGAATATATATGTGTCTAGATTCATTAACTTGTAAATGAATATGAGCAATGCTAAAAAGTTTTACAATCTGAAACGGAGGGAGTAGTACTTTATCCTTTCTTAAAAAGACTGTCACGGTTAAATACAGCGGTTTTAGAGACATGTAACCATGCCTCAGGCTAAATTCCTTTCACACGAAGATTTTGCTCTTAATCCATTGCAACCCAAAAATCTAACAAATATGAGCCGTTGATTTGGTTGTTGATGAATGGTTGAGATATCTCGTACTTGGTGGTGGGAAGAAAAATCCTCTTGGAAGAGAGAGACAATGAGGGACTGCCATTGAAGAGAAGAAGCAACCAACAAAAGTGGTGCAGTTTGTCTACCTTGGTGGATCTTACCCGATCATCACAAGTCAATGATTAGATGTTTAAACGTGGTTGGATTGGCACAACCAAACTTGAAAAATTCATTCATCGCTGTAACACCCTGAAAATTCGACCAACAAAATCAAAACTCTAAAAGTACGGATTTTTAAAAACTTTTTAAATAAATTGCATCATGCCGATTTTATTCGCCTATTTCATTGGATTTTGATTTCGGAGTTTGTTGATCGTGAATAAAGAATAATTAATTAGGAATAAACCCTAAAATTAAACTGGCAAAATAAATAATTAAAATATAATTTAAAATAAAGATTATGTGAGGTTGGTAATAAGTAAAAATATTATCGCGACCATATTAGTATCAATTAAATTTAAGTACGATGGAATAAGAATTAACTTTAATTAAATTCAATTAAATTCAAGTAAATTATATAAAAATAAAATATAGGTAATATTAATCTAGGGTGAATCCATTGGTTAGAATAACATAAATATTGAGTACACTTCATTTATGCAAAAATTAGGAATTAAAGAATAAAATTTATATAGAGAATAGGCTAAACTAGGGTTAAATAAGAACTAGCACTGTTCATTGCGCAGTAGGTGCTCGACGAGGTTCCCTAGCCCTGCCCCCTCCTCTGCCGCGCGCGCCTATCCGCCCCGAGCCCCGCGCCACCGTCGCCGTCGCGTCCTGTCGCCGCTGACGCGTCGCGCGCCCATCCCGTCGCCTCGCGCCGCGCACACGCCGCCTCGCGCCCCGCGCCGTGCCACCCGCCCGTCGTGTCGCGGCTGCCGCCTGTCGCGCGTCGCCGCGCGCCGTCGCGTCCCGTCGTCGCTCCGAGCCACGTGCCACCGCTGCCGCGCCATCGCCGTCGCCATCCCGCTGCCGCGCTGCGCGTGCTGCCGTTGCCTCGAGCCCCATTCCGCCGTCGCGTCGCCCGTCCCCTCGCCGCCTCGCGCCCCGCGCCGTCGCGTCGCCACGCGTCGCCGTCGTTCCGAGCTCCGTGCGCCGCCGTCGCGTCGCCATTAACCGGCCCCCCTCTTCCCTCTCTCCCTATAAAAACCCCACCTTCCCTATTCTCCCCACTCCATTCCCTCCTCCTCCCCTCTACCCTCTCCACCGCGTCGTCGTTCTCATGCCACCGCGCTGCCGTCTTCGTGCCGCCGCGCCGCCACCCTTGGTGCCGCCGCACCGCGCCGTGTGCCGCGCCGGGCGACACCACGCCTTGCGCCGCCGTCGGTAAGCTGCCGCCCTCCCCTCGTTCCGCCGCCGTCGCCGCCCGGGGAGCATGAGCCGAGAGAGAGAGGGAGGAATAAAGAAGCCGGGGAGAGAAAAGAAAGAAAAGAGAGAGAGAGAAAGAAAGAAAAAAAAGAAAGAAAGAAAAAGAAAAAGAAAGGGAGAATAGAGGAGAGAAAAAGAAAAGGAAAATAAATAGGAATTTAAGAGAGATTAAGAAGTTTAGAAAATTTAAAATAATTAGAATTTAATTATAGATTAATTATAGTCTAGAATTGTAAAATATTAATATAATTATAGATTATTTTTGGTGATCTCTGTAAGTGGCCGATTCGCGGTAGGAATTTAGATTTATTTAAGAAATAAATAATTATGTTGAATTCTTAGGAATGTACATCTAAATCACAAAGTGACTTGGGTTGAATGACCCTAAAATTGGAATAGCATGGTTTCGCAAACTTTGTAGTCGATATAGAAAGATCGATTCGCGTTCGACTTTTATTCGAGTTTATTTGGATTTCATTTGAATTCAAATTCAAATCAATTCTTCGCACGTACTTTTAGACCCCGAGGGAGTTGCGGATCCGAGCGAGGATCAAGACCCGCAGGACTACGAGCAAGGCAAATCATCACTATTATTTGAACATGTTGATCCCAATTGCGAACTTATTTTGTTTACAAGTAAAATTGCATGCAATGATGAACATCCTACTTGTGATTATGCCATGCCTTGATTACTGTTTACCCCTTATGTCTTCGTAACCATGTTTACGTATGAGTTTCTAGTCAATTATGACAATTGCTTAGAAATGCTATTCTAGAATCATGCATACTCATATTTATCAAATGCTATATGCTTGGGCAATTACCTTTGGGAAGGTAATTGAGATGCGGCATGTGGACACATGAGCACCACATTGCCATGATGTTGATGACATGATTTGTAAAAGGAGAAATAAAATTAAACAACTGTTTTCGACTGGGGCGGACGGAGGATTTGGGTGGTGTCCGGAAAAGGCTAGTGCCGTCCCCGGTCAATTAAGGTCCGAGCCATGAAGTTAAGCATGAAACGACCCCCGTACAACCGCACTTCTCGTATGAGTATAGACCTAGCGGAGTAGATAGCTGAGCGGAGGCAGTATCCATGCATAGTGGTTTCTTGATGTGTGAGGCAGGGGCTCTACGGTGGGGCAGCCATTGGTAGGACCCCGAGGCGGGTGTCTATAGTAGTGTCGCCATCGGTAGGACTGCCATGTGAGAATCTAAACATAATTATAACTTAATGCATGTGTGAGTCTTCCCTTCCCGGGTGCGCCAGAACTCCTCTCATTGCTAGAAACCGTGTACGCCTAGAGTGCATGAGGATGTAAAGTTCATGGAGCGGGTACTGCCAATGCGAGGTTATCAAAAAGCTTTACCGTGACGCGTCTTATGTGTTGGGACGAGGCTCATGTGTTGGGCAGTCGCGGAGTGCAGGTAAAGTGTACATCCACTGCAGTGTGAGTAAACCAAATCTATTCGAATAGCCGTGCTCGCGGTTATTGAGCACCGGGACGTGTATTACACTTGGTTAGACTCTAAATTCTTAACTTGTGTAGGATGGGTTATTGCATGATGATTTTATGCTGTTGGAGCCACTTTCCGAGAAGAGGGAAGATGGACGTCCTCAGAAAACCATGACGACTCAATGGCGGGAAGCTATCCTTGGGATTACAATGGATGGTGGACAGAACCGTCGTTGTTTAACATGAACACTGGAACTAAAATTTGGTCAGTTTATGCTAGGTCTTAGGCTTGTGAAAAGAATTACAAAACTTGCTTTGCGTAAAAGAACCATAGCCATTCCTTGAATACCCCTATCATGTGCATTGTTGCTGTGGTGGCTTGCTGAGTACGGTTGGTACTTACCCTTGCAATATATAAACCTAATTAGAGGCCGGAGATGAAGCTTCGGAGGATCCCTATGCCTATTACTAGGAGGGTGATGAAGACGATGGCGCTCAGTAGGTCTTAGTTACGGTCGTTGCCTGTGGCAATGGCGTGCCGCTGCCTTAACTCCGCTGCCTTATCTACTTCTGCTTTTGGAATGTATTCCGGACCGCTCGGTCCGATGATCTAAGACTATGCCTGCGGGCTTATGATGTAATAATTCGCATTAGACTCTCATGTATGTGCATTTGGTATTTCAGCTATGAACTCGTGTGTACCAGACTACTTGATCCAGGGAAATGGTACTGTTTACACGATTGATTCCTGTTATAAAAACGGAGGTCCACAATCGCTTAGTGCACTTTAATCAAGTCAGTTTGTGTGAGAATTGATTGAGTAAAACATCAGGTTTGGGTGGTGGTTTGTCAGCTTGAGTGACTACAATATTTGGTAGAATATCAATTTGCGGGGTCAAACGGTATCCGATTGAGCTAATTTTTAGAATGCTTGGAAAGGACTCATAGATCATCATTTGTGTCAAGTTTTGTGCAATTTGCTTATTTAGTTAGGGAGATCTCAGCTAAGAACTGAAGGTTACAAAATATGCTATTTATCTACTTGTTGTTGTTATAACTCTTTTTAGTTATTACTATTGGTTGATGATACCAAATGTGTAGTTTGATGATATAACTGTCTATGTGATGTGCCTCTAGATGTTTTAGAGAATACTTCATTTGTACTCATTGTTGATTATAGCGGAAGGTTAAAGAGGACCATCAGTCCGGTGGTTATTTTACTTTTCACACCGATGAGATTTTTTCCATGTAAATCACTATGTATTTGTGTGCATGTGTTTAATGTTACTCCGTTACTGATTTGCTAGCTGAAACTATCCTCAATGTTTATAACAAGATGAGAGGTTAATTGTGCAGAATATGTTTACCAGTTGGTGAATTTACTAGTTATACACATCTAAGTTGTTTGATTCACCCTTGACACTAAATTGAGATGGCTGCGGAGCACAGGAGCCAAACAACGCTGGCCAGAACAAACGTGCCTGGCTGCCTGCTGCCCTCTGCGCATAGTGCAAAAAGTCGGACCGGCCATCGAACCGGTCAAGCTTCTGGTTCACCGGCTCACTGGTCTGACCGCAGTGACGGATCCAAAAAAATCAATTAGTTAGTGTCATAACGTGTCTATCGGTGTCATAGTATGCTAATTATGCTTAGATCATGGTGTTATAACATATAGGTAAACAGGTTTACTATAGATTTTGTCCAAAGTCATCGGTGTCACCTGACACCAGCCATAGTACTGTAGATCCGCCCCTGTCTGACCGCCGGGTCGTCCGGTTCGACTGCAGAACCAGAGCATTCATATTATATGTGTATTCCCCTTTAAACAGCATGTGTACGTAGTCTAGTTGGCTTAGTTGTTGAACTTGTAACGAGGCATCCAGGGTTCGATTCCCATCTCCCCCACCCTTTTTTTCATTTATTCAGTAAAAATGACACATGCATGACTTGGGCCTAGTGGGCCTTTGTAGCCTGGTCCATGTACTCGCCAGAACCGCCGGTTCAGATGCGTCCGGTTCGCCGGTTTTCACCAAAAACCGCCCGGGTCTTCCGGTTGTGACCGGTTCGATTGCATATCCGGTCCTTGCAGCAAACCGAACCGGCTGAGGGGCTGGTTCCGGTCGGTTCAACCGCCGGGCCGGTCCGGTTTTTTGTACTATGCCTCTGCGTCACACGGTGAAATTGTCTCGGGCTGACGGATCGGAGCGCTCGGCCCCGCGTGGGAGACACATGGGCCGGATCTTTTGTTTGTTTCGCACACTTGGCCCATGTGTCGCCCACACTGCGTGACCAAGGCAAGCACATCAGGAAGGAAGAAGCCAACTTCAGATTTCAGAGGCATCATTTCAGACCTCCGACATGTCAGCAACAGGGTTAACAATTTCGGAACGAAAATGTCCAAAATTCAAATTTCAGGTTTACCGGTGGGTCTTCTTGATAGGATGTTCTACCAGCTGAAAATTTATTTTATTTTTTATTTTAGGAAAAAAAAACAAAAGTGTTAATTTAGCAAAATTTGTGAAGATTTTGAAAATTTTCATTCGAAATCTCTGAAATTTCGGTCACACTTGGTATAGTTATGTATTCTGAAATAGTAAACCCTGATCAGCGGCACTTAATACCGCTTGAAATTAGCATCATCCAAAGTGAAAGCAAGCAGAGCATTACATTTAAGCATATGGTCTGTGAAGACTGAGCAACAAATTGACAATTTATTTGTCGTTTGGTGAGGGAATGACATGCGAATTATTACAAGAGAAACGCAGTGGCATGCGAAGTGTCGAATCAAAGTCAGAACAATTCAAGTGTGTGCTTGGCCATGAGCTTGTTGGTACCGTGCCAAAGATCCCTTTTTTTCGTTACAACGGGCACTCCAGCAAGTGTCCCTGATCTTTCAGCGACTCGACACAATCACCAAACATCTCTTGCACCCCTTTGAACTTGAAACCCAGCTGCTGGATCTTGGATGTGTTTAGCTCATATGACTGTTTCTCATATGGGTTCCTCAAGCTGCACAGCAATTAATTCCAAGACGAGAGTTTCAGTAAACAAAAATACAGTAAACAAAACTGCTTGTAATTAAGTTGTAAGCATCAGAGATGCAAGGGATTTAAGTGTTTCAATTGACTGACCTCCTTGGGATGGGAAAAATTGGAAATTGCTTCGCAAGCAAGGCGACTAATTCGTTGTTGTCAAGAACAACGGAGTTGCAGAGATATCTCCCAGTAGCCTGAGGTGCTTCGTACACCAGAATGTGGCAGCTCGCCACATCGTCGATGTGAACATATCCCATTCTCCCATACGAGATGAATCTATCTGTGTCACCTGCAAGATCATTCCATTGGCAAATAGCAACCCATTTCGTTAGCTGAGTAGCTAAGAAAGATTAAAGTTTGAAGAAAAACAGTAGAAGAGAAGAGTAAACGGTATTTGCAGCAACCTTTCAGAGATAAATAGTGATTCCAGAAGAAACAAGAAATACCTTGAAGTAAGCCAAGGATGTCTGAAGCAGTGACAGACAGTTCATGTGATAAACTGGGCCCAATCACAAATGATGGAAGAACAGTTACAAGGTCAATGTTGTTCTCCTTGGCAAACTCCCATGCCGCTTTCTCTGCAGATATCTTTGCCAGGGCATACCATAGCTTCATGCACATAAATATCAGTAGCGTTGTTAAATCAAAGGTTTATATGGGTCACAAAAGGTGCAAATAATCTGTAAACCGAAATGGACTTTTCACCTGTAGCTTTTCACAGAGTGCCACAGAGCTCCATATTGTTTCATCCAGTGAGATTTCTGGATGTTTACTCTCATCCCTGATTCTTACCGTGGATGATGAGGATGTAAGAACAACCCTTTTCAGAAATGGATTCTTCTTGCAAGATTTCAGCACATTCAGAGTACCATTTATCGCAGGAACAAGCATTTCTTCCTGCAACAGTAATAGCATGCACCATGCAGTGAGAGTGTAGTATAACAGTTCAGGTAAATAAACATTCAGATGCATCATAAAAACCGAAGATTGGAAGTAATTTTATCATGCCTTGCAATTGGAATCAGATTTGGCAAGGACAGGCGATGCAGTGTGGAAGACGCCTTCGCAAGCCATCACAGCATCGTCAAAGCTCCCTTCTTCCATCAGATCAGCTCTCACAAGTTGCAGCCTCTCCTTTGCACTTGGTAATCTCCAAAGGTGTGACACTTTATCGCGATTGCCTGTTAAATTATCCAAAACACACACACCATAATTAATCTCACAGTTGTGAATAGTAGTAATGAACTGATGCACTGTCATAATCAAGAAAAATGCTACACATACTTGGGTCTCTCACAGTTCCTATCACATGATAGCCCGCCTCAAGAAGCCTCTTGATGAGCCAAGAGGCGACGAAGCCTGAAGCACCAGTTACACACACTTTGCCCTTGGATGAGATCACCATTTTCTCAAACTGGAAGTGATGATGTTGAACTCTGAAGCAAATCAACCTGCTCATATAAGCACAGCAAAGAAATATCCTAGAGGAGGAGGACCAAGAAATGTTGTACATCACCTCATTTTTGTGATCATAATTAACTGATGGAGAAGCAGGTTGGTTGAGGGTAGATTCAGTTAGAATCTTCTCTAGGTAGGGAGTTGGTTGAGTACATTAGCAATGCGTTCTGCTTGACATTGCAAGAAAACTCCACATATGGTCAAGCAAATAGTATCAGGTTCCATGTAATCCACGGAATTCTTTTAATTAGCAAGACAATAACTAGAATTATTAAGGGAGAACTGAAAATGATAAAGATACACATTGCTACCAATCATTTACAGCTGCCAGAGTAACCAGGCGAACTCCAAGTAAGAAACAAATGATTGATTCCAAAACTTTTAACCCTAATAGCAGCAGCTAACGTTTCAACGAGTAGCTCGTCCCAGAAAATGCTTGGAACTTGGGCTCTTCCTTCTTTGCAAGTTCATCAACTTTAACAGGAGGAGCCTTCTCTGGTTCTTTGCTGCTGCTGCTGCTTTTGTTTGAACCAAAAACAAGCTTCCCCTTTTTCTGACGTGTAGAGTTGCTAACTCCTGATGCTGCTGTCTCCTGATTCACCTTCTTGTTCGAGTCTGAAATTGCAGAACTTGCAGCAGCAGGATTAGAAGAGATCCCTGCTGCTAGCGGTTTTGAGGCCTTACCATCCAAACGATTCCCTGAACCAGTGAATGCTCTGAATTCTGGCTCATCTTTGATTTGATCTTGATCTTCGGAAGCCGCCTTGCTTGAAGGAACAGATGGTTTCTGCTGAACCTTTTCAGGTTCTTTGTAATCGAGTGGAGGTGCGAAATCGACCTCGCAATCCGTCTCGATGATGCAGACGGCCGAGGCGGGCTTCGTCTCGACGATGTCGATGAGGAACTCCTTGTTGTTGTAGGCCACCATGATGGTGTCGCCGGTGGTGAGGCAGGTGAAGCTGCGCAGCGTCTTCTCCAGGACGGCCTTGGGGTTCGCCGTGTCGAGGAAGTCGCCGGTGTGAGGCTGCAGCTTGGCGTAGCTGCCCTTGGGGAGGCTGGCGCTCCTGACGACGACGAGGCCGCCGTCGTCGAGGCGCATGCCGCGCATCATCCACCGCGGCATGATCACCGTGCCCTCGTCGGCGACGAACTCCAGCACGCCGCAGTGGGTGACCCGGTGGGCGGCGGCGTCGCCGTGGTGGGAGAGCTCGAACAGCATCGGGTAGTCGATGTGGAGGGAGGCGAGGCGGTGGAGCGCCGACGCCGGCATGATCACCTTGTCTCCGCCTTCGAGCTGCGGCTTGTTGAAGGCCGCCGCCGAGTAGCACCGGTACGTCTGCTCGAAGCCTCTCCCGCCGTGTCCTCCATAGCCATGCAGAATCCGGGAAAGCATCTCGTCGTCGTCGGCGGCGGCGAGCGGAGATGCGGTGCGGTGCGGCGTCGACGCGAGGAAGGAGGGGACGCGGGCTTATGAGGGCAGTTCGTTGATCCGAACTTGGCGAGGATTCGATTCCAAGCCCCGAGACGCGGATGGGTAGGAGAAGAACTCGCAACAAGATTCGGTTTAGAAATCTAAAATTGATTCGGATTTGGGACGAACAATGGTAGTGCTTCAATCTGATTCGAGTTTCGCGGCGAGGGCGTCGAGAACACCATGGAAGCTGCTGAACCTGGCGCCGACGACGTCGACCTCGATGCCCAGCCTCCTGACGCCGTCGGCGGTGACGGGGCCATGCGCGGCGACGACCATGCGGGGCCAGCGCGCGCGCAGCCGCGGCCAGCTCCACCCCGCGGCGTCCAGCCCCTTGAGCAGGCCCTCCACCTCGGCGGTGGAGGTGAACACGACGGCGTCGGGCGCCGCGGCGTCCACCAAAGCCTCCGCGCAGCGCGGCCCCGCCCAGCACGTGACGTACGCCGGCGCGCGCACGGCGACCCACCCGGCCGCCTCCAGCCCGGCGAGGAAGCCCGGCACGACCGGCGGCTCGCGTAGGCCGACGACGTCGGGCACGGGGCAGAGCACGCGCCTGCCGGACCCGCTCCCCAGCGCCTCCACGAGGCCGGCCGGGGTGGGGACGTCGGGGACGAGGACCGACACCCTCCCGCCCGCGTCGCCGCAGAGCCTGGAGAGGAACGCCGCGTCGAGGAGGTCGGCGTCGCTGCCGAGGGCGGCGACGGTGAAGGGTAGCGCGGTGGCGGCGTCGGAGACGGGGTGCCGCGGCCGCCGCGCGGGGGAGGAGGAGGACGGGAGGAGGGCGCGGGAGAAGGCGGAGATGCCGGAGCGCGAGGTGAAGGCGAGCGCCGCGAAGGCGTCGAGGCCGCCCGGCGCGACGAAGGGGCGGAGGATGTCCGGGTCGTGCGCGCGGATGGCGATGGTGGGCACCGGGACCGGCCGCGCGCCGCGCTGCCGCAGGATGGCGTGGAGCCGGCCGCCGTAGCCGCCGCCGCCGGCGTCGGTCTGCGGCGTCGTGAACGCCACCCGCCGCCCGGCCAGCGACAAGGTCTCCGGCTGCGCCATCCCTCCCGTGGCAGTTGAGTCTTCAGAAATTCAGATATAAGAATTCAGAGAACACTCTGAACATTGCAAGTTTTGCAACCCGTCAGAACTCTTATCAGATTTCAGATAGCAACAGATAACAACATTACACCGGCAAATGGCACGTATCTAACGCGTAGATTTTTTCAGGATTCGACCAAGTAATTTTACCGCGGAGTAATTTTACTGGATTTTGATAGAATTTAGTCCAAATACTACAAAGATCCCTTGAAATTCCTTCATTCCAAAGGATGCCTAAGTTGAACTTGCACACTGCATCCTCGCGTCTGAAATCTGAACTGGCACAATGTGTTACATCTTGGCCTCTACTCCTCTTGGCACCAATAATTATCGTCTCTAATGTGATAGTTAATACAATGATTCACGTAGTCTAACAACAGATAAGGAGAATGTTGGCATCATGGTGCCTCACTTCTGAACTTGGCGAGCAGTCACCAGGTGACATTGGCGAGTTAGACCATGCAAATCTATAGCTCCGAGCAGTTCGTCACATATGAGCAGGAAGACGTGGAGAATCCATGGCGCAATGCTGCTCGGTTTTTGTGGAAACCTGCAATTTCTCCAGGAGAAGATGAAAACAGCAGTCACTGCAACTGCTTCTCAAAAGGGAGTTCAATGGAGGTTGCGTTGCCATAGAACTCTTCCAAGTTGTAGAATGCTCGCTGTTGCGGAAGAAATATATGGACAACAACATCGCCTGTTAAGAGTGAAAAGGGTAATAGGTCAGCCGCAGATTTGCGCATCGAAAAATCTAACCATTTTACGTATGACTGTAGAGTATAGAAGACTAACCGAAGTCCAGCAAGGTCCATGAATTTGGTTTTGTATCACCAGATGCAACTATGCTAAACTGCTTCTCACCGATGTCTCTCATCTTGGAGCTGCAATGCAAAATGTAATCCTGAATATTGCATGCCAAGTTACACGAGTCAAAACTGAAGTCGTAATATGAAATCAAGCAGAGCATTTTTCAAGTTTCTCTTTGGTTGAAATTACATGCACAATTAGTTGTGAACAAGTAACTTAAACTGATGTTTTGAAGCGAACCTGATAGCATCAATCTGTGCATTTGAGAAAGCAGTGAGGATGATGAAGAACCTCGTCCAGTAAACGAGCGGCTTCACAAATAGTACACGAATATCCGCAGCCTTCACCTCGCTTGCAACTTTAGCTAGGGAGACAGCAACTGAAGAGAACACAAAGATATGTTCAAGCTTCAGGGATTTTGTATTTTGGACCGTTAAAGAAAAAAATATTATAAAGCAAGTGAGTACGAATCTATATATGACTACAATGAACAATCAGCAACAGAGAATTCAATTCAGCACATATAGCAAGCAGGACATTCGATTTGATTCTTTTGATAGGATGACAACTTCAGCAGGATACATTCATGAATAATGTTCTCAGGGTTTTTGTCAGTAATTCTTGAACAAATTTGTTCAGTTTCTAGATTGGCTAGGCATAAGCAGACTGGAGTTAGAAAGAGAGGAGTGGAGAGGCAACATACAGGACAAGCACTCGGCGTCATCGTCGGCATCAATGCCCGGAGCCCCACCGGCGTTGTACACCACCTCGCCATGCTTGCTGAGCAAATCCTCGAGCAGGTTGTCCGCGTCGTCCCCTCTCCCAGAATTCTGCTCGGAGCTCATAACCAACAGAGATCAGCATAGAGCTTCCCAACAAACAAGACGGGCGCGCGGGAGAAACGAAATTGTTCGAGAGGACTACTACCACATTCGACGACGAGGAGGACGACGGCGAGCGAGCCCGGCAGGGGAGGGAGCGCGTGTGGGGCAGGTCGCTCCTCAGCCGGTGGTGGTGGAGGAGGGGTCCTCCCCCGCCGCCGCCGGCAGCGCGCCGCGGCCATGGGGCCAGCGCGGCGGCGGCGGCCCCCGGTGGCGCGCATACGAGGGCGTGGGTCTGGATGGCGGCGGCTCTCATGGTGGCCTTTGCCGCGGCTGCGGGATTCTCGACGGGGAGGAAGACGAAGAAGACGAGGTTGTAGTGAGACAAACGGCAAGAGGGTGTGAAGACGTGAAGGAGATAAGCAGGAGGCGCACTTGACTGAAGAGGTTCAAGGGGGATATGCTATGCTAGATTTTTCTTTTTTTTTCCTTTTTGGTTTTTTTCCCCTCAGCCTATCCATTTTAGTTTTAACGGTCCAAATGCTGCTTCGGCGCATTGAGATTCGTGCAAACAGTACGCTGTCTACTCTGGCAGTTTAACAGCCGTACATCTGTCTACTGGATCAGGATACTCTGCCATCGAAGTCACGTAACTTTGTTACTAACATATGGTCCGATTATCCCTGGACCCACATACAGTGAGAAAGGCACCATGGATTTGATTAGAGAGGATATCAATCTCAATCCTATGCAATGCACGGTTTTAAATTATATTAATTCATCTGATTAATAAAATATCTTATTGGCCTCAGGAATGAAAAAAAGGAACAATATCGTCTTTGCCACTTGTGGCTAACAAGCTCAAACTATAATAATATTAAAATAAGGAGGACAAAACTCACACCTATCTAATTTCCGTGTCAAATCTAAACACAGATAAGGAAAATATCTGATCCAGCACAGGTAAATCATTTCATCATATAGTAGTAGAAACATAGAAACATGTTCGACAGAAAAGATGGGCACAAACTTGACGATTGGATCATTGGAGTCTAAATTTATATTTATACAACTCTAATGAGGCAAATCAACTAGCAGTAGTCCATTTTTTTTACACATTTATAGGGGCAGCCACATAGGAAAATCAAGTTTGCAACAAAAATGGATTTTTCATTTATCGTGCACAGCAACTGCACTTCTCAACAATCCATCATCGTTTAATTACATTCAATATATACTTTCATCAAAATGATGAGGACAAAAACATCCAGAAGTTCACCTCAGATGTTTCTTTTTCTCATTTTGTTTTGTTTTAACATCTCTCGCATAATATTCTGAAAGTAAGTGCTAACACCACATAATCCTCTAATATTTTCCTAGATTGTTGCCTTTTTCAATGTAAAGGAATAGAGGAAAGGATAGCAAAACAAGAATTAGTACTTGAAGTAGTAAGAAGCACTGGCCACCAGGATAACCGGGTGCATCCTATTATGTAGAGGGAAACTTCCATAACCCCTTGCTAAGCTTGACTGCAGACCCATTGCTAAAGGTCCACATGATAGCAACAAGTAAAACCATTAACGAGATGAAAATTAGCCCACCGCCTCTTCTTCTGGTGTTGATAAGAGTACTGCTAACTTCTTCTCTTGCAGGTTGTTGTGACCTAAAGCTCGAAATGCGTTGCAGTGTTCTGTTAAGACCTATGTTTTCAGCAGCCATAGCTGGACTGCTAGGAACAGAATCGAGCAAGGCAGATAGAGCCCCATTGAACCATGATTGTGAAGCATTTGAACTCCGGTTAGGCGGTTGCTCATTCACTGTATGAATAATGGTAGCATCTGCAATGTTCAGAAGTAATAGTAGTTTCAATTAGAAGTTGGGACCCTCTGCAGCATTATGCTTCATCTTCATACAAAGAGGAGGCATGCTGGCTGCCTTTTATTGAGAAAACAATAATCAGAAGTTGGACAGTATAGTTTCTGAAATAATTTTGGGTAATAATAAGAGAAGCTTGTAAATGAAATGGCGTTGTTAAGCACCTGATGAATGTGAGAAGACAACATGGTTGTCCTTCATATGGTTCCGCACATTTAGAGCGACTTGATTATGTGCCAATAATTCAGTTGTATGCTGAAATCCCTGGTTCTGAATTCCACTAGCACCAAATTCAACATAATGGTTTTCAGCCACCACACCAGTTCTGTCAAATGAACCAGGCAGAAACATTGGAGCATCAGAGTATTGCAAACTATCAAACACTCCATCATCAGCAGGAATCAAGTTCTGACTTCTTGTACTGCCCAAAATCTGTTCTAAATCTTCTGGGTCGAAGAAATCATTGATTTCAAGGAATTCATCATCACCATCCTGCCTATCATAACTACCCAATACTGACATAGAGCGCAGAGGACTTGTTTCTTCCACAGCATTTGTTTCTCCATTCATTGGCTCGGTGGTGAGAATAGACTCAGTAATTTGATTACTTGGACCAGTTTGCAGATCAAAATTTGGGCTTTCCTGCACCATAGTAGAAAGATTTGCAATGTTGAATGTAGCCCTCTGGCTTCCTTGAAAATCTCCGAAGGCGGCCTGAGTAAGGTCCAAGCAAATAAAGCTTAAGCATATTGCAATAAAATTGTAACAGCATAATTACAATCCCTAGGATGATGTTTTTTTGGTTTTAGGAACATAACATGTTCCCAAGGTGTGGACTAGACATCTAAATTATTGTGTCTTTCAAAACTTGGATTGGAAAAAATTGTATGAGCACAAATGCAGAAGAAATTACACATACTCTACATGATGAACTAGTACAAAATAAAGTGCAAAATTAAGACAAACCTGATGACAATCATGGAGATGAACTGGTGTGGAGAAATCTGGCAGTGATTCGGCATTTTCCTGGTCATTTTCTATTTGCATCAGAAGCCCTTCAATATCCTGAAGCTCACGGACAGTACATTCTTCTGTCACCACAGCACTACTAACAGTGGTAGAATCTGCAACACCAACCTCCTCCCTATGAACACCAAGACAACCCTGATGATAATCATGTTGAAGCTGCGATTGGGGAACGGATGCTGAGAAACCAGAGAGCATTTCAACTGTCTGTTGATCATCCGATATTTGCATCAGAAGTTGCTCGAGACCATCAATTGGAAGTTCAGCGCACGTATTCTCTGCCATCAACAAAGCACTGCCACTAGTCGTAGCATCCGCAACATCTGATTTTCCGCCATCATCACTGAGCCAACCTTGATGAACACGATGCTGAATCTGAACTTGGGAAGTAACATGAGTTGAGAAATCCAATTGCGCTTCGATTATATCCTGATCATTTTCAATTTGCGCAAGGAGCACATCAAGATCCCCACCCGGAAGCTCAAAGTCAGCATGCTCCTCAGTTGTTGCAGCTCTACCACTAGTTGTGGCTGGAGCCGGAAGAGCCGCCTCAGCAGGAAGCTGGTCGTGGTGGTGGTCGTCGTCGTCGAGCCAATCCTCCTCCCGGAAGGGGGCGCCGTACTGCTCGCCGTTCTTGGGCCCGGCGCCGCTCTTGTGGAACAGCTTGTACAGAGCGTACGCCTCGCGGTCGCGCGCGGCGGGCGGGAGCGCGTCGGCGAGGAGGGTGTACTCGTGCATGACCCAGTCCGAGCGCTCCCCGCGCGGGGCGCGGCCGTGGTGGTACACGAGGGTCTTCTTGCTCCCCACCGCGCGCCCCGAGGCGGTGCCGCCGCCGCCGCCGTTGCAGATGGAGCGGTCCTTCCCGGTGGCCTTCCAGTAGCCCTCGCCGGTGGTGCGGCTCGCCCGCGAGCCGTTGGGGTACTTGCGGTCCATCCGGCTGAAGAAGAACCACTGCTTGTCCCCCGTCCGCAGCGCCGACCTCTCTGCTCCGCCGCCGGCAACACGATTCCACGGTGAGGTCGTGCAGGAGAAGGAATCGACGACGGGGGAGGAGGAGGGGGGGAGTGGTTACCAGGGAGGTGGGAGGGGTGGGACTTGTAGACGTCGACGTCGGCGATGTAGGGGGTGGGGCGGCCGGTGGCGATCCGGCGCTTGAGGAAGTAGAGGACGAGCTCCTCGTCGGTCGGGCTGAAGCGGAACCCCGGCGGCCACCGGAGCGGCGGGTTCTCCATCCCCATCTCGGTCTCCTCCGCCGCCGCCGCCGGAATGGGTTGGTGACTGGCACAGCAACCTCTCGACGAAATGGCGAAATGGCGAGTCAACTCGACGCCCTCCGGCTTAAAAAAACACGAAGCTTACGGAGCACGGAGGAGGAGTCTCATGTGTCACTGACATCTGGGCCCATGAGGGTGGGCTCCATTTGTCAGTGACTTATGTCCCCCTAACTTTGTCCCTCGAGCTCCTTCCACAGAGAACAAAAGCTATGTGCGTGGGCCTACGCTCCTCCGCGTCTTCTCGGTAACTTCGCGCGTCGCCACGCGCGACCCGCCCTCGGGCCCACATGTCAGTCAACGCAACGCAGATAGTACTAGGAAGCATACGAGAACTGCAGCAATTTGACATTTGTAAATGGGAATCAAATGTTCCAAGCCTTTTAGAACTCATGAGACAATGATTCGTACTTATCTGAGATGAGATGAAAATATGCAGCAATTATGGGCCATAGGCAAAAACAGTTATGCACCCATAGACATATGGAGATTGTTGTTCATGTACAACAAATGCCGATCTGTTGCCGCCTCAGCAACAGCATTACAGATTTAACAGCAGCGCTATTTGCACAACACGCGCACCTGCCTGTACACGACACAAACACAACTGAAACTGAAGGGAAAAAAAAAGCATGCAGAGGAGTAGGACAACCAGCACTCTACTACGACTAATAAGCACAAATCATCTTGACCAATGTGACCAACCATCTACCAGGAGGAAGAAAAATATTGTACAAAATGATGACCCTTTCTGGAACCAAAGCTACTACCGCGTCCGTCCCATATAGATCATGGGATTGGATCCCTCTGTGCACCGGGGGGAGCGGTTGGCATTGGAAAGTTGAGTGAAGGGTAACCTCCGACGAATTGAGGGGCCTCCACATACGGGCTCTATCATTGACAGCGAGAGGAACAGATGTTTCAGTCTTCCGTTTGATGGAGTAAACTTTGATGTCAAATAAACACCTTAATTTAAAGAACAGAAAGAAATGAAGCATATGGTTTGAAAATCATTTTTCATAGTATACAGTGTCAACATGAGTGGCACATTCAGGTTTGTTAGCATTGGCAGGCAGTCAAAACAATTTGTGGGCTGAAACTGCAGGTTGTAGATGGATACTTCTACTTAATATCAGAGCTCTCAATGACTGTTTTTCTGCTACTGTAATTTTACCATTAGTCTGCTGGTTAAATGTATTGCTGTACATGGCAGTATGGCACCACAGACATAGTTGTGTTCATAGTGGTTTTGCATGTTAATTGCCTGGAGATCTATAGGTGCAGCTCAATGCAACTTGACCTCATTCAGTCACCACAAGGTACACTTATGAAATTGATTTAAAAATATTACTAGATAAAAATTTCTTAAGAGCAGCATATAACGAAACCTTAGATGAACCGAGATAGTTCCACTTATAAAAGTCATGCAAGACTTGTAAACCAGACATCTGTGGGCATGTGGCATCAATGATCTTACTACTTAGATGAGGGATTTTCACCTGGTAATACGGTGGGTTTGGATCATATGGATGCTCCCTTGGGGACATTGGTGATGAATCAGGAGAACTACCATCATTGTCATCAGAATTATTTATTGTATTGTTGATTGTTGTGACCTCCCCCTCACTAGAACCAAGCTTAACACGCTGTGATATAAAAACCCAACTTAGTTCATGGAAGTACACTAGACAACTTCAAAATCAAAGGTACATGGATAAATATGTCAAGAATGGTACCTGGAAAATTTTGCCTAGAGTTTTCAATCCTTTAGCTCGAGCTCTTAGTTCCTCTCTCCTGATAGTGCTATCTTGAAGCACCTGATATTGATCAAATATTTAAAACCATGCTAAAACTTATGCTAATGAAATGTAAGACGAATACAAAAACAGTTATGTAACAATAGTGAAAGTAGCCAGGACTTGAGGACAGACCATCTGACAGACATGTGATAGGGTTCCCTCTATATCAGCAACATTAAGCTTCCATAAGGAATCAACCATAACACTTTTGTGGGTCTCCATGTAAGCTTCAAGTTCCTCTTCGGTGTAGTGGCACTCAGCACTAAGATGCTTCTTTAAGTCTTCCTGCAGTTGCATGAGAGCTATTGCACCTGCAGAAATATCAGAAAAATCAAATTTCATGACTAAATTACAAATATATTCTAGTATCAACGTAGCATATATTCAAATCTGTATTTGTGGTAATTCAACCAAAAACTAATGAAATAAAACAATGTTTACCTGTTGCAGCTGTTACTTGGGATTTAATATAATGGCCTTTGTTTCTGAACCATTCAGCTATAAATGGAACCCCCAGGTATATAGCTTTCTTTCCAAGCTCCTTCGCAGCTTGTCTTGAATATACATAACCAATAGTACTCAGCATATCAACCCCATACGCTGCAGGGTGAGCAAAATGGGACAAGAAAAGACTGTGATTCATAAATGAGCTGGTGGCCTAAAAGCAGATAAAATATCAGAGGTTTTCCTATTACATTGTTGCACAGATACAAACATGGTTTTCCTTTTGGTGGAAAAAAGAGGGGGGAGGGGGGTTCAAGGGTTGAACAAGAACCTGCATTAGAAAGTCTGGACACCTCAGCTTCTGCAAACTGCACAAATTCCTCTTTGTTTCCTTGAACATAAAGGTGCAATTTGTTTTTCAGTGTCTCTGCAAGTTTCTCCTCCCTTTCCTTTTGTACAACCTGTGGTTATTGTTAAGTCCATAAATGAGTATTTCAAACTACAGCACTAAATGAATGACTCATTTTTCCTTAATATAGCTAGAATACAACTACATCAGCACCATCGATTGCATTCTAAGTTCTAACAATCACCAGCAGATCAACTTGTAGTTTCAATTCATGGCTATGACAAGTTTATAACGGGCCATTCCCTCTACAACAAATATGGAAAAGGGGCGGAAGTGCAAGAAAGTTATCAAGGCATTGAAAAGGCTAAATGCATAAAAAAAAAGATGAACTCTAAAGAATTATAGCATTCCAACTTTCAACTTTCCTTTTTTTAGTATGAAACCTTAACAATTAAAGACTACTGAGAGAAGTAAAATGAACTTATTCAAATGAACTATGTTGCATCAAAATTATAGGTTGCGAGGTGGACAACAGGGAAGCTACAAGGGGATCATAGTCTTGTAGGCAGAAGAAATATTGCTAAACTTCCAATCAACGATGAGCATGTCAAGCATATGTCCATAAAACTTGGTGTTAAAGAGCCATACTCGCATTTTCTCTTGCAACATCCTTGCATCAATCTCTTCTTCGTCACCAAATATATCAAGTGAAGCCATGGATGCCATCGCCAATTGACCAATGTAATCCTCAAAAAGCTCACTACCAAACAGCATTGCAAAAATTGCTGCTGGATCAATTATTGCTTCCCTACAGAACGTTGATGACAAACAGGTTAGAAGGTAGTCATCACGACATCTTACAAGATCCTACAATATCAAGATGAGACCACCAATTCCATTGTTAAAAGTACATCTGATAAAGAGAGGGAACTATTCCTTCCTTCTGTAAATGGTCAACTACGGTACTACTTCAACAACAAAAGACTTCAGTTTCTTAGTGAATTGTTTCCATAAGTAACACCGTTGGACGTATTTGTCGATTAGACTTACGTTGAAATACCAGATTTCCCATATGAGTCATACGCTTGACGTTGTGTGGGGTCACTGAGTACTTGGTATGCCTCTCCCAATTCCTGATGTCAGTTTCACCAAATATTAACAATTAACAAACATGAGCAAAAAATCATGCATCCTTATTTTCGTGTAAAGTTTTAGTAGTACCATTGATTGGTTTTCAAAATGACAATATGGACATAATGAGCTACACACATGTAGAATAGCTATTCTGAGGCCATGCTGAATAAATTGCAAAAATTACTCAAAAATGCACTGTGCACGATTACATGAGCGCAGCAATATGCTCATGCAGGACACATACCCCTTCCTGAACCACTCATCGCATAAATGGTTTGTCCTTTGGTACAACTAGGGAGGATGAACAAATTTCACAGTAATCCACCCTAGCATACTTTATTTCCGACGAGAAACAAAAATCATCACAGGACATCGCACGACGTTGCTAGCACAGGGCATTTAACGATGTAAAGGCTCCGCTACGTCCTGAAAGTTAAGACCTACATTTTTGAAGCATCTGAGTGCCACATGGGGAAGCACGAATGCATGATCACCCTATATCCAAAAAAAATTAGCACTAAATCAACACTGCTGCACGCTATTTCCTGATCAGCGTAGACACCGTAGCCACAGAGGAGTTGCAACACGTTGCTGCGGCTATGGTTTAATCTCACAATCCACTGGAGCATAGAAGGGGGGAAACACATTAGTATGATGCAGCCAATACTTGCCTGGAACTTCGCCGCCGCGAGCGGATCATTTGGGTTCTTGTCCGGATGCACTTTCCTCGCCTGCCAACACCAGCAAACAACCACCAATCACCACCAGCATCAGCAACAGCAAAAACACAATGAGATCAAACCAAAACCAAAAACGAAAGATGAACAAGCTGCCGGAGAGAGGAGGGATCACCTTCATGTAGTACGCCTTCTTGATCTCCACCTCGGTGGCCGTCGGGCTCACTCCCAGCACGTCGTAGTACCCCGTCTCCCTTACCATCGAAGCAAAATCGATCACCCGCTTCTTCCTCCTCCTACACTCCGCTCTCCCCTCCAAAAAACCAAACCCCGATCTCTCTCTCCTCTGCGTCGACTCGATCGGTGGCACCGAGATCTCACGCTGCTCGTCGCGGCGGTGGTGATGCGATGTGATGTGGAGCGCGGAGGAGAAGCACAGCAACAACCGCTGCTCTGGCGGCGGAGGGGAAGAGGGGGGAATCCGACAATAAAGCGCTTGGAATAATTCGTTTTTTTTTCCTATTTTAATTGGGAAGATGAGTCACATTGACATGGGAGTCCAAACTGGGTTTCCTCGGGTTAACTTAAACCCTCCACCTAAATCGCCTCGATTTTCGGTTAATCCCCCACGGATTAGCGGCTAATCTGCGGGTTGCGGGGTGGGGCCCACCGACCTGGAGCAGGTGGATGGACCACATGACCGACCGGCGAGGCGACGCGGGCGCTGACCCCGAACCCGGCTTGGGCGGGGTGGTTAGGTGGGTCGGAGACGAAGGCCTACTGGTGGTAATTTGCGAGCTCGTGGGCCCACTCCAGCTAGGCCGCTACGGAGTACAACCCACTGGCCCGGTGGGCCCTGGCCCCTCCATGTTATCTTTTCCTAACCGCTTTCTGTCTGAAATTATTCCTGAAAAAGGTTATACGGCCAAAAACTTTCTTACTAAATTCTTATTACCAACGCTGATTTGGCCATGGGTAAAACTAGAATTCCTGTAAGAAAATTATTACGTTTTGTTAGAAATAAGTGTCGTTTTAAACCATGGTTAGAAAGACACTAGGCTCTGTTCGAGAGTGAGGGTACTCCCCGGCACATAAATCGAAGCAGCGTTTTAGTGCGTCATTAATTAAGTTTTAGCTAATTTTTTTTTTCAAAAATGGATTAATATGATTTTTTAAGCAACTTTCGTATAGAAATTTTTTTTGCAAAAAAACGCACCGTTTAGCAGTTTGAAAAGCGTGCGCGCGGAAAACGAGGAGGAGGAGTTGGGAACTTGTACTACCAAATAGACCCTAGGTCAATTAATAATCACCGGTATATAAAAGTTTATAAGAACTTCTAGCAAAGCTGTGATATTTTGAAGCTATTTCCGGAGAGAAATCTTTAGCTTCATTTTACGCTTATGCTTATACTTATCAGCTAAAATTTTAACTTTCAGTTTTTAATTTGAAGTTTATTTTTCAGCCTTTGCTTTTAAATCGTTAAGAACACGTATATAAAAGTTTTATTCACAAATTACTATCTATTTACAAATATGCCATTTCGCTTTTTCCTCCAATATGCCAAACAATGGGGCTGCATATCTATCCATGCAATGGCATTTTCGTAAGTTGAAAACAAATATTTAAATATACTTAACTGGACGTATATTACAAAACTTAACCTTTCCCATATGCAAAAAAAAAAAAACAATTTCTTCCAGAATTAGCACGCTATTGTGCATTAGTACTTTCCAACGCGAAAAGGAAACCATCTGAAATTCTAGACTTTGGTTTGGTGGAGATGGAATGGAATGGAATGCAGACGCGGCAGGGAATGGCCCGCTCTCGTCGATGGCCATTGAAAAAGACCATCTCCACTCTCTCTTTTCTCTCCAGAATGCATGTACGCACGCGTACGTGGAGCATGGAAGGATTGGTGGAAAAGGAGGAAAGAGTAAAGCGAAATGGGCGGTGGAGGGAGGGAGGGAGGGAGGCCCGGATTTGAGTGATTGTGGACTGGTTTACATGTGTAAAGTGATTTGTCCGACATAATAAAGCTCACCCACCGCTGTTGTTGTCCTAGTAAGGCCTCCTCCAATAAGAGTGAGTCAGCTAGCTCATAAATCTCCATATCAGCTTTTGTATGATGTGGAAGAGAGAGAAGATAAGGAGAGAACGCACTATCTCTTCTTCAAGAACTAAGCTCCTAAAGAAAATGGGAGAGGAATTGTGAAACCCAAAGCATTTTAAACAATGTGATATGAAACAATCTATTGGAGAGGTAGACTTTTTGCTATCTCTTGTATGAGGTGGACAAGCATGAGCTAGTGTACTAACTCAACCATTAAAGAAGGCCTAAGAGCAGGTACAATAGCAGGCTATAAGCCAGCTGCAAATATATTTTAAGGAGATAAATAATAAGAGAAAAGAGCAACGGGCTACAGATTTGTAGCCAGCTGTAGCACAGACTCCAAGACGCAGTATGTGTATGACAGATGGGACCAGGTATTAATAGTGTAGTATGTAACTATTGTATGGATGAGCTATTAAATTAGTTATAGATGAATTAGAGCTACTAGTTGGCTATACTATTAAACTTGCTCTAATCCATCCCCGTATGACCAGCACAAAACGTGCGTGCACAATGTGCTAGTAGTACCCTACTATTCAGGGTAAGTTAAGCTAGCTAAGGTAGGTTAGCGTAGGCTTAAGCTAGGCAGAACATTCTGGAGGTGACCGAAACAAGGTGGTGCATGGACGCTTCATCGTTAAGGCAAATCGACGACTAGTAAGGGGCTTTCAAAATCAATCTACAAATTTAGCGTTATTGAATTTCGGAATTTCAGTAAGTTAGAGATATAAGATAGAGAAATTTTGCTACAGGATACTTTTTATATGTGATTTTAGTCCTAAGACACTATCCAAACTCACATTTGGAAAAAAACACTCTATAAACGTGGTAATTTGCCAGTGGACACTACGCCAATTAAAATAATACTTTCCGGTTGGGAAGGAGAGAGAAATCGCGTGAAATGTCAAAAATGCCTTGGGCCCACATGTCAGCTCTATCTCCTATCTCTCTTCTCATCTCTCTCAGTATTCTCTAGGCGCGCTCGCACGGGGCGGCGTCGGTCGCGGCGGAGATGGCGAGGACGGCGGCTGGCAGAGTGGAGCGGGGCGGCGGCGGCGGTGGACAAGCGCGCGGCCGGCGGAGCGGCAACGTCGGTCGAGCGGAGTGGCAGCGGCAGCGACCGAGCGCGCGGCAGGCGAGGACGGGATGGGCGTCGGCGACCTGCTTGACGATCTCGGCGGCGGTATTGAGTGGGTTGGCGGTGGTGAGGACGACGGGGTGCGCGGTGAGGGAGACGAGGTGCGCAGCGAGGGCGGATGCCACCGCCGGCTGCTGCGCGTGGTGGGCAGTCGGCGGCCGACGGCGAGGCGGACGCAGGTGGACGGGCGACCACGGAGGAGGGGGAGGACGGAGTCACGCTCGGACGCGCACGGCAGGCGAGACGGGAGCTTGCGTCGTCGTCTCCACGGCCGCGAGGCTTCTCGGTGAACACCATTCGGCGGGCGAGGTGGGAGCTTGCGTCGCTATCGTCGTCGCCATGGAGTGCGCGCCGCCACGGCTCCTACCGTGCGCTCGCTCGCCGCCGCTAGCTATCGCCTGCCGCTCACTCGCTCGCCGCCGATGCCACTCCGCTCGGCCGACGCTACCGCTCTACCGGCCGCGCGCTCGTCCACCGCCGCCGCCGCCCCGCTCCACTCTACTGGCCGCCGTCCTCACCATCTCCACCGCGACCGACGCCGCCCCGTGCGAGCATGCCTCTGAGGGAGAATACAAAGAGAGATGAGAAGAGAGAAAGGAGATAGAGCTGACATGTGGGCCCAAGGGCATTTTTGACATTTCACACGATTTCTCTCCTCCCCAACCGGAAAGTATTATTTTAATCGGCGCGGTGTCCACTGACAAATTACCATATTTATGGAATGTTTCCCCTCAAAAGTGAGTTTGGGCAGTGTCCTAGGGCTAAAACCACACGTAACAAGTGTCCTGTAGCAAACTTTGCCTATAAGATAGTGTTTGGTTTCAAGTCTTATTAAAGCTCTTCTTTTTAGAAACACAAATACAGAAGCAGACGTTCATAATGTGCGCACACGTATCCCTATGAGCACTTCTGAAAGACGAAGTTTATGAACGTACACACACATTCTACCCCTACGAGGCTATGAATACCTCCGAAAGACGAAGTCTATGAACGTACAGACCCACACCCACGGGCGCCTCACTTAGCACTAGAAGAATAATTAGTCGTAAATACGAGCACATGTGTCAAATCTAGAATTTGAACCCAATGAGTTGGTTCCACCACAATGAACATAACCAATTAAGCTACACTCACTTCGCAAGTCTTATTAAATTTTGGTATAGTTTTGAGATTAAGAGTTTTGGTAAGTTAGAGGTATAAGGTAGTGTTTGGCTTTAAGCCTTATCAAATTTTGGTATGTAAAAAATTTACAAAGTTGCTAACATTTGGTAAGGAAAAGGATGGTTGGTTTATTGTCTTGATTCATGAATTGAGTATGGCAAAACAAAGTGAATCGGCTCTGCAGATGTCCCCGCATATTTTATTTTATATATGCCAATGTTTGGCAACGTTTTGTAGAAATAATAGCTAGATAAATTTGGTTCATGGCTTTTTACTTTTAAGAAAGATGATTCGTAGCTCGTTTGCAGCCCTATCATTTCGCCTATGCTGGTTTGAGCTTACATTTGAATTTCAAAACATAATTTTAAAGTTAATTTTATGGCTTTCTCATCATAGTTTATTTTACATCATTTATACCTTTTTTAATTGCTAAAATATGTATAAAAACTTTACCATAAATTATTTTTTGTTACTAATAAATCATAGAGATCATAAGCATAAGCAAAAACAATGAGGTTGTTGGAATGTAAGAATTTCATATTAATTAGCGCAATTCCCAATAAATTCCGATAAAATTCTTCCATTGCAACAACGCTTCTCTATGTCTTCTATAGGAAAGATAGATAGTAAAGATTTCTCGTTTTTCACACGTATGGTTCCTAAGCTGCTAAATTGTGTATTTTTTTTAAAAAAAAAGGAAAGTTGTTTTAAGAAATCATATTAATCCATTTTTAGTTTCAAATAATTAATACTCAATTAATGATGTATTAATAGAAAATCTCATTTTGTATATCTTTTCAATCTTTTTTTCCCTTTCTCTCAAACTCAATTAGTGCATGAGCAATGAGGCGTGCCTTCAACTAGCACCCCCAAGCTTTACCCACACAAAAGTTGATGAAGGCACATATCTAGCTACTAGTCTTCCAATGTATCTTAAGATGGGGCCGGAAAAATATATAGCAGCCCTTCTTTTTTTTTTCAATTCAGCCTATAAAACATTATGATATTGTGGATTTTGCAATAAAGCCATTCGAAGAGATAAATTATTTACAAATTAAGCCGTGACCCACCTATCAACCACCCATCTTTTTTTTCCAACTCTCTCCCTATCTCTATCCCCAATTTCTCTTCTTTCCCAAAGCCCCATGCCACTGCATGTCCTCTCTTCGCCTATGATGCACTGCCGCTCCCCACAGAGCTCTCATTCCTCTAAC